ACTTGCCTGGGGGCTGAAGACCCAGGTGCTCAGCATCCCAGTCCCTTGAGGCCCAGCCCTGACCTGGGCATCTCTATTTGAATGCCCCAGTTACCCTCAGCTTACACACCCTTCCCCTAAGCTTCCTGCACCCCCATCTCAGTGACCCGAGGACTTTCATGCTGCTTTGACTCTGGGAGCTGTCACCACCCTAGTCAAAGCCATTGTCACCTCTCACCTGGTGACCCAGCTGACCTCCCTGCCTCCACCCAGTTCACTTGATCTGATCAGATCTATTTTCTTGGCAGCAAGACCCTGGCGGGTCTGGCCCTGCCTCCAGCCTCATGGCTTCTCTCCTGACCCCAAACAGCCGTTCTTGCGGTTTAGGAGATTCACAAGAGTTTGCCTGCCCCTGAGGCTTTGTGCAAGCCTGGAATGTGCCAGACACTCCTCCCCACTCCCAGTACCCCCTCCCCACGACAGATAACTTCAGAGCTCAGCCTAATATATAGCTTCTTCCAGGAAGCCTTCCATGAAGCACCCTCCCCAGATGAGTTTGGGCATCCCTGTACTCAGGTTTCATTGTACTTCAACTGAGCTCGTATCACACTGTCTCCTTGAGACAGAGACCACTAATCCCAGTTCTCAGTCTGCTGACTGGCACTTAAGGGGCCTGTCACAAATACGAGTTGATTGAATGAGTGAATGAGTGTTGGGGAGTGGGATACAGTTGAACGGAGGTGGAAGGAATGCGTCTTTTAAGGCTGGAGATGGGATGCGGACGGGAAGAAATGAGGCTCATGGGATAGGGTGGGCACCACCAGAGGCTTCAAGCCTTCCCTGCCCCTTGACCTGCTGTCCTTGGTGGCCATCAGGAAATCTGCTCCTGTCGCAGGCAGGATTGACTCAGGTCCCACGCTCCACCCCCAAGGAGAAGCACCACAGGCGTGTACAGGTTGGTTTATTTACAAATATACTAATGTCTCATCTTTAGTTGTTGTTTCCATTTTCTGCTTTTGTGGGAAGAG